CCCCGGGGCGGCGGGGGCCGGGCTCGCGTGGGGAGCGGCCAGCCCCAAACCGCCTACGGTCACAGGGGCGGCCCCGGGGCACGCCCCGCCCCCGCCGCGCACGGCCTGCCCGGTTGCCCAGCCCAGCCCGGGCCCCTCCCACGCGGCCATGGCGGAGCGCGAGCTGCAGCTGGTGGCGCGACGGATCCGCAGCTTTCCGGACTTCCCCATCCCGGGCGTGCTGTTCAGGTGCGAGCGCGACCCTGGGCCCCGCGTTGGGGGCGCTCCGGGCTCGTGACCCGCCGCCCCCGGGGGTCACCAGGCCTGTCCTTGTGTGCCCAGGGACATCTCGCCCCTCCTGAAGGACCCTGACTCCTTCCGCGCCTCCATCCGCCTGCTGGCGCGCCACCTACAGCAGGCCCACGGGGACGGCATCGACTACATCGCAGGCGAGTGGCCGCGGGGTCGTGCTTGGGGTTGCCCCTGACGGATGGACCTGCCCCCTCCCCTTGCAGCCTCCTTGGGTGGCCCTGAAAGGGGCTGCTTCCGGGTGGAGGCCGCCCCCACGTTCCAAGTCCCCATCCCGGTTCAAGCCTGGCCAGCCCGGAATGAGCTTCCCCAGAGCCTCTCAGGAGTGTCCGACCTGAATCCCCCGGGCCACGCTCCCTCTTGTTCTCTTGCTGCAGTCTCGTTTTGAGCACCTGCTGTGTACCAGGCCCTTTTCCTGGCGCTGGGGCTCCGGGGACTCCCTTAGATTGCTTCGTGCCCACTGAGCGCTGAGAGGTAGCAGCCATGCCCCATGCACCAGATGGAGGGAGGCTTGGAGGCCGTAGGAAGAGCTCCAAGGAGGCGGTGACGGGCGAGCAGGGTCACCCGGTGGGTCTTGTCTCTGCTCTGAACCTTCCATGGCTCGCTGCCGCCAGGGAAGCACCAGCACTGCGGGGGCCCCCCTCACTTCCTGCGGGAAGTGCTCCCTGACCACACCCCAGGTGTCCCCGTGGCCTCGAGATGGCCAGTGCTGGGCCACTGCCCCCCTGTGGACAGGACACTCCAGGACAGGCACTGCCTTTGAAGAGTGACTCCAAGCTGGTCTGCTGAGCATGTCATGTTACTACCAGCCTGGTACAGATGGGCCGCTGAGCTTTGGAAAGAGATCAGGTGACTTCCCCAAGGCCACACAGCTGGGAAGCAGTCCTACAGGATTGACCGTGGTCTGCATCCCTGACCTCCGGCACTCAGCAGCTCCTGCACAGGGCGGTGCCTGTTAAACACTTCCTGAGTGGATGGATATCATTGGCCTTTTAGCTGGTGCCGTTTGTCACTTGTGTGGCTACTTGTCACTGTCCAGCCCTGGCCCATGGTGACCTCCATGCGTCCGTGCTACTCAGCTGTTGCCAACACCTTGGCTCTTCCCCCAACAGGCCTAGACTCCCGAGGCTTCCTATTTGGCCCCTCCCTGGCCCAGGAGCTGGGCCTGGGCTGTGTGCTCATCCGAAAACGTGGAAAGCTTCCAGGCCCCACCGTGTCTGCCTCCTATGCACTGGAATACGGGAAAGTGAGTGGGCTGGGAGTGGCGGGGTTGGGGGGCAGAGGGAGGCAGGGCCAGGCCACTGCTGCCAGTGTCCCTTAGTTCCCAAAAGGAGTCTGGGAGCCCAGGTCCATGGTAGAGCAAAATGGAACGGAGCTGTTGTGGTCACAGTAGATGTGGGAGCTCAGAGTTGAGATGCTAAGCCAGGGTCACACAGCAAGGTGGGGTTGGAGCCAGGGCCCTCTTGTCAGCTCCCAGGCTCTGCACATGGAGGCTATTTTCTGTTGGAGACGGGACCACGTGCCTGCTTCCTGTCCACAGGCTGAGCTGGAGATCCAGAGAGACGCCCTGGAGCCAGGGCAGAAGGTGGTCATTGTGGACGATCTGCTGGCCACTGGTGGTGAGGGTCTCCCCCACACAGACAGCTAAGGCTCCAAGATGGCCCAGCCTGGCCCTGGGGTGGGAGAGCACACCTCACTCCCCGTGAAGTGAGGTGGGGCCAGGAAAGAGCCTCATTGCCATGCCAACCACATTATCCCCCTATGACATCCCCCCCTCAGGAACCATGCGCGCAGCCTGTGAGCTGCTGGGCCAGCTGCAGGCTGAGGTTCTGGAATGCGTGAGCCTGGTGGAGCTGACCTCGCTGAAGGGCAGGGAGAAGCTGGCCCCCGTGCCCTTCTTCTCCCTCTTGCAGTATGAGTGACCCAGATGCCCACCCCTCCCCAGCCCAACATCTTCATCTGCAGGAGAGGGAACTTTCAGCCTCAGGTGGCTGAAATGACCTGTGCTGGCCACCAGGGGCCAGTGGTTGCCCACACGAAAATTTTATCCATTCATTTCTTTGAGTGACTCCAGTGCCCACAGGTCTTGCCTGAGGCCTTTACTGGCAGTGCTGGAAGTGCCAAAAAGTGTTCAAGTCTGGGGCTGATGGCCTGGAGCAGAGCTACACGAGACCATAGCAGGCCCAGCTCCAAATACTGCAAATGAGAACACAAGTAAACAGCTTTGCTACATACTGTCTCCTGTCCTCCTGTTGGCTCTCCAGCCTGAGTGGCAGGGATGCCCCAGAACCCCAGTACCAGACCCAGACCTTGCTGAGCCTTGGCCTTCTCACCGAGACAGGCTGGTGGCAGCACACAGGCTTGGGCAGGGCTTGTTTGTGGCTCACACCTCCTGCCAGGAGCCTTGACTCCCACTCAGGCCTGCAAGCTGCGAGCCCCACTTTACAGGGGAGTAAACAGGCCCAGGAGGGTGATGAAGAGCTCATAAGCAGGAAGTTACAACTGCAAGGCACGTGCTACCTGAGTTGGATTCCCATTGCTGCTGTGACAAATTCCTGTAAACTTAGTGGTTCAGGCACAACTTTATTATCTCAGTTTTCCCAAGTACTAAAACCAGTGTCAGCACACTGGCTCCTTCTGGAGGTTCTGGAAGCATCTCATCTCCAGCTTTTGGGGGCTGCCTGCATCCCTTGGCAGGGTGGCTTCTTCAAATCTGATCCTCACCCGCTAGTTAGGACCCTGTGATGACATTGGGCCCACCTAATGATCCAGGATAGTCTCCCCATCTCAAAATCCTTAACTTAAATCACAAAGCCCCCCTTTGCCACATGGCTCACAGTCACAGGTTCCATGATTAGGACATGGATGTCATGTGGCTAACCACCTATGCAACCCTGCACTGGCAGCAAGGTCCCTGCCTGACAGCAGCAAAGACAGAACCACCCACAGAAATCAGTTTAATATGAACACACCGTACATGGGACCCACGGGCAGACCCACGACCCACACCGGCAGGAGACACTCAGGCTGTGCAGTCTGCAGCCCAGCGTCCGGCCTCCGACTCCAGGGGAGTAGGGAAGGGAGGAGCGAGGCGCATCCTGCTTCTATAGGGATAGGACAGGCAGGGGCCAGGCCGGCAAGCTCTGCACCCATCTTGATCCAAGGCGGCCCCAGCGCTCACAGCCCCTCCTCAGCACGCACCAGGCGGGCCAGCCGTGCTGTGACAACAGCCAGGTCAGCAGCCTTGTCCAGCTTGACGTAGGTGTCGGTGCGGATGCGGTGGAGGCTGAGCCAGTCCGGAAGCACCTCAGAGAGGAGCACCAGGTGCCTCTCCATCTCTCCTGTGGACAGAGAGGGTGTGAGGCTGGGCCCGGCCCCCACCACAGGGCAGCACACCTGTGACCTCTGCCCAGGCCCCCAGAGCTCTGGGCCTGCTTGCCACCTCATGGTGAGGGCACTATGGCCCCACCAACAGGCCTCCCTCAGGTGATTCCAAGTCCCAGGCCTGGAGTCCCATCTGTGCCCTCAAGAAGCAAAGGAATGAACCATCACAGACGGGGAGACAGGCGGTGACCCTCCAGCCAAGGCCCAACACGAGGACTCGCCGAACACTGTGGAGAAGGGGTCCCAGGCCTGTGAAGCCCCAGGGTGGGTGGTGCCCTGCCGCTGAGGGACCAGCACCCCCGAGTGCTCAGAGTTTGGTGACTGGAGGCCTGGGCGGGAGTGGACCAATCACACAGGGCCTCAGACCTCTGAGGAGTCAGGATTCTGTTCTGAGCACAGCGGGGAAGCAGGCCAGGTGGGTGAGGGGCAGCCACAAGGAAGCTCCCTCAGGATGCAGTGGGAGCAGAGGGGCCAGGCAGGGGCTTGGGAGACTGGAGGGGGGCGCAGTGCAGGGCTGTGCAACAGTGCACACAGCAGCCACTCGGTGCACATCGGGTGAACGGAGCAAGTCCATGCAGACACCTGGTCAGGAACACGAAGCAGTGGGCCCCAGCCACGCTGCCCACGCCCTCCCACCCCGACCCACACGCACCAGGACTCAGGACGGCACAGCAGCTGGCCACCATTCTGGCGCAGGCCACCTCCATGGTGAGCGCCGGCTTGCGCTCAGACACGAAGACGCAGCGCAGCACGCGGGCTAGCTCGGGCAGCCGCTGCAGCTGCTGCAGCCGGCGCTCCTGCTCTGGGTGCCGCGTCATCTGTGCCAGCTGCTTCTGTGCCTCCTTCACCCGGATCTGCAGAGGGTGTGGGAGGCGGGTCAGCAGGCAGCAGGTCACCATGCCCCCCCCCCCCCCCCCACCAATCAATGTGGACTCACCCGCTCCAGTAGGGCCTGAGACACCCCCTTGAGGGCACTGGGAGAGGGAGCGGGTGGAGTGGCCGGTGGTGTGGCTGGCAGTGCCTGGCTGGGGGACCCAGGGCTGCTGGGCTCGGCAGAGTGCAGGGCCAGCTGACTCAAGGCTTTCTGCATCTGCGGTGGGGAGAAGTCAGAGGGGAGAGGTCATGAGAAGCAACGTGCACCCCCCAGCCAGAGAAGGCCCCTCACTCTGCCTATATTCTCTGCCCAAGAGTCCCCCATGTTTCTCCAGCATGTCAGGCCATCTGTGCTTGCCAACTTGGGGTCTTGGTGTATAGCCTGCCCTCCCCAGGGGCAGCCCCTATGTAGTGAAGGTGGCAGCAGGACACGTCCTCCACCTCTCTGGTCCCTACAACCAAGGATGAAGCCAGATGAGGTGTCAGGTACCCTGAAGAAGGCCTCCGGCCCCTACATCCACCATGGGGGGGTCAGGCTGGCTCTGCCCCATCCCAGGACAAGAGAAGCTGAGTCAGAGACCCGCCAGTCTCACCCCGGGCGACATGGGGGGACCCAGGGCTGCTGGGCTCGGCAGAGTGCAGGGCCAGCTGACTCAAGGCTTTCTGCATCTGCGGTGGGGAGAAGTCAGAGGGGAGAGGTCATGAGAAGCAACGTGCACCCCCCAGCCAGAGAAGGCCCCTCACTCTGCCTATATTCTCTGCCCAAGAGTCCCCCATGTTTCTCCAGCATGTCAGGCCATCTGTGCTTGCCAACTTGGGGTCTTGGTGTATAGCCTGCCCTCCCCAGGGGCAGCCCCTATGTAGTGAAGGTGGCAGCAGGACACGTCCTCCACCTCTCTGGTCCCTACAACCAAGGATGAAGCCAGATGAGGTGTCAGGTACCCTGAAGAAGGCCTCCGGCCCCTACATCCACCATGGGGGGGTCAGGCTGGCTCTGCCCCATCCCAGGACAAGAGAAGCTGAGTCAGAGACCCGCCAGTCTCACCCTGGGCGACATGAGGCTGCGGGCATGGGCCAGCACCTCCTGGGCAGTGGCAAGCTTCTCCGTGGTGGGTGGCTGGGGCAGCTCAGCGGGTTCGATGTCGGGCACCTCGTCCACGTTGAAGCGCGGGTGCCAGCGCGTAAGCTGGTCCTCGGGCACTGCCATGGGAGGGTTCAGGGAGGCCAGGAAGGCCTGTGGGAGAAGGGGGGGTGGGGTCCCACCAGGTGAGTCTGGGCACATCTGAGAAACGGGCAGGCTGCACGTGAGGGTCGGGCAAGTGCTGTCTGGTTCACGTCCCATCTGGTCAACCTTGAGCAAGTCACTTAACCTCTCTGTGCCGCAGGAGCTCAGCCAGGAAAGACAAAGCACCTTGCCTGGTACACACTCAGCACTTACTAAACACCACTGAAAGCCAGTTTGGGGTCTGAGGCTGCAGCTGAGGTCACCAGCTCCTCAGCTCAGGGAGACCCAGCCCAGTTTTGTGCCTACTACAGCCGGGTGTCAACAAGCACAGAGTGGGCCCCTCCCCACTACATGAGACAGCGTGGTGAATGGTTAAGCAAAAACCCCAGAACTCTGCCATCCCCTGGCTGTCAGCCCACTCAGCTCTGGGTGAGACGAGGATGTGGATGCCAGGCACACTTCGAGCTCTGAATGAGGGATTAGTGACAGCACTCAGGCACAGCCTGGCCCAGACACCCAGGAGCACCACCGCATGACAGGGATGACCGAGCTCAGCAGGCCCTCTGGCAGCTGGGCCGCTCACCTTGTGGTGTTCTTTGACTCGCTCCACCAGATTCCGGCTGAAGACCTGCCGGCGCTGCAGGAGACGTGTGGCTGTGAGCTGGGGGACTGCACCTCCAGCCTCTGCAGGGAGAGTCCAGGCCTGAGCCCCCGGACCAGGCCCACCAAGCCCAGCCCCACAACCATGGGTCCCGGACCAGGCCCACCCAGTCACCCAGCCCCATGACCATGGGTCCCGGATCAGGCCCACCCAGTCACCCAGCCCAGCCCCACGACCATGGGTCCCGGACCAGGCCCAGTGCCAAAGCCATATGCCTATCCCCAAAAATGTGTGGTATCACAGGTGGAGAAACCGAGGCCGAGCACGCTCACCCTGGTCCAGCAGCGGCTCGATGGTGAGCTGGTAGTCGGACCTCTTCACACCATCCTTGAAGGTGGGGACGTTGCGCTCCTGGCGGAAGTGGTAGGAAGCAGGATACACAGTTTTGATCTGGCCTACATTCCGCTCCTCAAAGCACCTATGGGAGGGGGATGCTGGGGTCAGGCGCCAGGCCAGGTTGACATCAGACCCCAGGGAAGGTCGAACCCCGGCCCCCATAAGCCCGCTCACTTGTGCATCAGGTCCTGGACACCCTGCTTGACCTTGGCGAAGGTCGCGGTCTCCGAGCGATTGTGGAGCATGCCCACAATGGTGTCCATGCTGCGGAACATCTCGGCCAGCACCTGGTACTTGTAGGGCAGCACGAGGCCAGGGGGCCCAGGCTGGGCCAGGGCGTGGAAGCGTTGGTAGGCAGGGGCCTTCTCCCTGCTGTCAGGGAGGGAGCCAGCCCCATCAGAAGCACCAAGCACACACCCCTCCAGCACCCAACAGCAGACCACTCGGCCAGGGAGACCCCTCAGAGCTCGGTGCTCACACACCTGCTCCGCCATGCCCGCCCCGGGGCCTCCAGGGAAGCTGAACGTCTCCCCAGCCCTAAGAGGCTGCAGTGATACCCAGCCAATGCTCAGTGGCCCCTGGCTGTCAACAGCACTTGAAAGCCGCAGGGCCCACTGAAGCAGGAGTCACTACCCCCTCCCACAGACGGAGACCGAGTGCAGAGCTGGTGAGCAGCAGGCTGGACCTCGTGCTCCACGCCACTGACCACACCAACCATCTCCCTGGAAGCTGCTGCCCCGGGCCCTCTGCCCAGCTCCTGCCCTCCCATGCCTCCCAGGGTGCCTGGTGGCCACCCAGGACTTACCATGGCTCCTCTGGAGGCCCCTCAGCCTCTGGCATGCTAGATTCCCCAGCATCCTTCTTCTGGGCACTGGCCCTCAGCACCTGGACCCGTGCCCCCAGCTCCCGTGCCCGCTGCAGGCACAACTTGAGCTCAGCAGTGGTGTCCTTTGAGAGACCGGGAGACACAGAGTACTGTTAGGCCAGCCAGTCATCCCACAGCCACCCCATGCTCTGCGCCTGGTCCAGCCTCTCACCTTGTCCTGCTGGGTTGGCAGGCCAGGCAGCTGACCTGCTGAGAGGGGAGCTTTCTTTATCTTCTTGCCCAGAGAGGGGCGGGCTGGGGAGCCAGGGGCAGCTGGAGAACTGGGGCCAGAAACCTGGTTGGAAGAGACCCAAAGGGTGAACATGCGACAAGACCCAGGGGCACCTGGCTCTACACAGAGGACCTCCAGATTCTCAGTTAACTAGAACGAGAAAGGACTGGGAGCCAGGTTCTCAGCCTCTTTGCTGAAGCCGACCAGTAAGGACAGGGTCCAGCCAACCTCGCCTGTTCCTTCTCACGGCCGCTTCAAGGGTGACCTCTCACACAACCTCACAGATAAGCTGGGATTCACCAGCCAGCTCAGTCAGCCCCTGGCTCAAGTCCTCCGTGGTTTCTCCCCACCTGAGGAGTCAAAGCCCAAGTCCTTGCAAACGGTTACAGGGCACTTACAGGGTCCCCCTGATGGGGCCTTGGCCTCCTCTGGACCCATCTACTCCAGCCACAATTGCCTCCTTGCCAAGCAGGCTAGTCCTCCCCCGGGACCTCAGGTTCCCCTCTGCATCCCACCTCCTAGGCTGTGCCCTCCCGCCAGGAGTCTCACTCCTGCCTGTGCCCCTGCAGCTGCAGCCCAGCAGCTCCTGGCCTGCCTCTCCCTTCCCACCTGGTCTCAATTCAACCCGCCCTCTCTCCCTGGGCCTCAGCTTCCCCAGCCCTTGCCTACACCCTAGCCTCAGTTTCCCTGCGCCCCGCCCCCCTGCCCTGCCTCAGTCTCCCAGTGCCCCGCCCCCCCCGCGGCCTCAGTTTCCCCGCGCTCCGCGCCGCTCACCGCGTCGGCCGGCAGCC